CCCCAAAACCCCAAAACCCCAAAACCACAAAATTAAATACGATTTTGTTTGGAAAATTGTAATAAAATATAAGAAAATAATGCCTTAAAATAATAAAATTCCATAGAAATCATCACTTGATGTAAGGCAGAAATTAAAAAAGAAGCCATTGATTTAAGAACCTTACTTTAATCAGATTAAGCCATAATTGGAACCTCTGTTTGATTCATTATTTATTGCTAAGGAAGTCTTTGAAATGTTCTATGATGATATTGATAATACTATCAGGGAGAAAAATCTTTATAAGTAACTTCCTGACTAAGTCATAGATTAGTCATATGCAGTTATATTGTCAATAGTTGGAAAGAAGCTTTCATTCTAGGATAAAAATGACTACTACTACTACAATTATGAGGATGAAAGCATTGAGCCAGTATGATAAATATTAATAAATTATATAGATTCCTTCAAAATTTGATGTGTGCATGAAAGAGTTTATCTCCATTAAAGAGAATTAATATGGGAACTTAGTTTCAACAGAGAGTAATAAATAAATTATACTAATGTTTTGATTTAGAGAAAAAGATACCAGTTAATATTATTAAGATCAAATCAATCAAGAAAGTGTCGAACTTTGATAACTCCTTACTATCTCCTAAGAATAAACTCCAATAGATAAAAGATGAATTAAGAAATTCGAGAAATAGTAGTAAATTAGAATAGATCTTAGTAAAATAACAAGCATTGACCGATTACATTAAGAAAGAGAAGTCTGAAGAGGAATAAGCAATTGAGAATTTGAGAAAATAAATTGAGTTGAAAAATGCTGAGCCTCAAGTAAAAGAAAAGCAGGAAAAGAAAAGACTGTTTTAAATAACAAGAAATGAAAATGTAACTTCTGACTACAAAGGGAAACTGATAAAAATTTAGAAGATTGACTATGAAAATGACTACTCATTTTCGTTCAATGACCAAGATAAATAGTAATAAAGCAGAGATTCTAGGCTATCACAAATTGATTTGCTACCAAAATTCAAAACACCAAGAAATGAAACAGTTAGAAGGTTTAGACATGAATCAGGATTGAAGTTGAAAATGCCTTAAAATCTCAGAACATCAAGAAGCAATCTTAGCAACTACTCTCATTAACTGGATAATGCAAAGCTAGATAAAAATAACATCAAAATATTTTAACAGAACTTTAATAACTTAGAGTAGCTACTGAATGAATCCATTAAAAAGCAAGAAGAATCAGGAAAAAATTTTGTTACTAATCTTTCAGGATAAGATAACAATAGCAATATGATAGTTGGAACCCCAAAAGTTTTAAAAGATAACAGCTCAATGAAAATTTAATTCTCTAGAAAGCAATTCTAAGAGTTTAGTGGTAAACTAAATATTTCCAATGTAAATGAAAGGGATTCTAGTCCTAATTATCACTAAAATATAAATGCCTTAGCAAATAATAAATCATACTTGTTTCTAAATGACACATCATATATGATGGAAGACACAAGGTTAAATCAAACTTTTGATTCAATTGATCCCTCTCTAAGAAGTATACTTGAAACTAGAAATAGTAAATTTAGACTTCCCTCAATAAAATAATTTAATCAGAATGCCCTTAACTTACTCTTAGATTAAGAATAGGATAAGAGTAAATTGAAGATTTCTAGGAATGAATCAAACTAAATAAAATATAATTCAAACTTAAAGTAAAATCAGTCTAGTCTAATGTCACCACTTAATGTCAAGCTTGCAATTATGGATAACAGAATTAAAATGATGAAGAATAAATCCTCAGCAAGAGTTCGTGCTCTATCAAACTTAAAGGATAATAGTAGAAACCTTAGTATTCAATATGAGCTTTCAAGTATTAAAGGGGGTTTAGGCGATGAAACTCGTAGCAGAAATTAGCTTTTTAGTTATGTATCCAACGCTGATTCACATAAGGCCTTTGAAATATCGTAGAACTATGAATTTAAGTCTATAAGAAACAAGAGTCACAATAAATTATGATTGATTGTTAATTTCATTAATGATTTGAACTAAAAGCATCAAGGGGTTTTGGGGTTTTGGGGTTTTGGGGACATA